TTGATTGATTGCCTCAAAATTGGAAGTGATTGTGATATTCTTACCCTCTCCCTACTAAGACAGATTGTAGCTAGGGCACCAAGATAGTTTTTCTTTCTTTAGGCAATTTCTGGACCCTTCTAAAGAGGAAGCAAAACTGCCTTGATCAGGTATTATCGTGTGACATTATAGCTTGCTGGACCTAGATGGTGGATGTAGATAAAAAATGTCTAAAACCACTGAGGAATGATTCAGTAAAGGGTAGTTAAAGAAAAGAGAAGAAAGTAATCAGATCTCTCGGTAGCTAGCCAGGCTAGTTTCAAGCAGAAGGCTGGAGAGGCATGGACTACAAACTCAAGCTGAGTTCCACTGACCTCTTTTTCCTCTCTGTTGTAGCAGTCATGGGATCAGACAAGAAAAATGGATTATTACGGCATTCTTCCTTTGACACCCCTCAGGTTCTTGCATTGCTCTTACCTAGACAGCCCATGGCTGTGTATGCTGAAAGGGTGGCCTCTTGGCACAAGCCAGAGGATGAAGCCCACAAGCAGGTAGCTGTGCTCTGCAGCCGTCCAGGAGCCTTTTGAATTAAGTCACCTGGTGCATGTGCCTGGCCCCAGATGACTCAGGATGTCAACTCCAGGTTATAGAGCTGCATTTTGAAGGTGTGAAGATGAGCCTGGGGACCATTAGAGCCAGCTGGCTGCCATGCTTACTTTCCTTATTGTTATCTTTCCTGACTCCTGGCCTTCCAGATTTCTCTCCTTCTGGAGGATTCCTGCTAAAGTGTTAGTGGTGTACACTTTAATACCAATTAAGCCATGATCCCTCTTGGGTTTTAATGGAAAATCTATTAAAATGGAACATTCTAATAGAGAATTCCAAGAATGTCTTATTTGTTTCCTGATCCGTCAGACCAGACTTGAGTGTTGAAAACATAAAGCAACATATCAGTGTTTTGCATTCCAGTGAATTCCTGTATTACTGAGCATTAAATCCAGACTTATTACCAGGACCTACAAGGCCCTAACTCAGTGATGGCGAACCTTTTGAGCTCGGCATGTCAGCATTTTGAAAAACCCTAACTTAACTCTGGTGCCGTGTCACATATAGAAATTTTTTGATATTTGCAACCATAGTAAAACAAAGACTTATATTTTTTATATTTATTTTATATATTTAAATGCCATTTAACGTAGAAAAATCAACCAAAAAAATGAGTTTGCGTGTCACCTCTGACACGCGTGTCATAGGTTCACCATCACTGCCCTAACTGATCTGGCCCTTGGCTACTCCTCTAACCTGAGCTCATAGCCTCTTCCCTTCAGTCTTTCCTTTAATAGACTGAACTTGTTCCCACCTCCGAGCCTTTGCACTTGCTGGTGCTCTACCTGAAAAGCTTTTCCTCGAACTCTGTTTCTTCTTGTCATTCGACATTTAGGTCTCAGTTTAAATACTCTCTTCTCAGAAAGGTGCAGCCTGGTCCCATGGGCACTTAGTCACATGTCCTGGCTTTTTTCTTCATAGTATTTATCATTGTTTTTTTTCATTTGTTTATTGTCTGACTCTTTTCGCCAACATGTGGTGTCTTGAGGGAGGGACCTTGCCGTCTTCATTCATCACTGTGTTGCCGGTGTTGAGAACACTGCCAGGGAAAGTCAGCACTCGATGAATATTTGCAGACTGGGTGAATGAATGAAGTAAAACCTGGAAGGCTTCTGGTGGCCCCATCACTCTCCATTTCTTTCCCAACTCCCAAACACCAGGTTACTGGCTTCATAGCCTTCCATCTATGCCTCTGCCAGGCCCCAGCCAGGCTCCCACCCACTCTTTGAGGGTGTATAAATGAAGGCACAGCCCACAGTGTCAGGAAGCTGCCAGACCCCAGGATCAGCCTGATAGCTAGGCTCAGCAGATTGTTCAGCTCCAGCCTTTCATGGTACCCTCCAGAATTTGTTCTGAGCGTGGTGATGTGTCTGTGATTATTTTATTTCCTTTCATGTTCAGCCCATAGCACCATTCAGTTATATACCGGTAGTTTCTTATCCAAGGCCCCTATATCCTTCCTTAGTGATTTGAAATGTCTGAAGGTGCTAAAAGTAGGGTATCTGGTACCTCCGCAAACCACAAGTGTGTCTCCCCACCTCCTGTTCCCACACCAAGCAACCAGTTTTTCATTACATTCCGCTCCCTGTGGGCACCAGTCCCTGTGGGTACTTGCTTAACTTCCATGCTCAGCCTTCTTGAGAATAAGAATCATGAAATCTTACTCTCCTGACAAATACATGTATTTTAATGTCTTCGCATTTGTTTTTATGCGTTTAAAACATTATCACATGTAATTTCCTTTGATCCTACAAATAATACTGAATGGTATGTTGAGGAATCTCATTTTCCAGGGGAAGGAAGTGAAGCCGCAGTGCTATTGGGTCTGTGCTGTTCCACACACTCCTCTCCATGGCCCGTCCCCTGGGCAAGAGCCCCAGCCGTGTGTTAAAACATAAAGCAACATATCAGTGTTTCTTTGTCTTTGGGGCAGTTCCAAGATCAATAAAGCCTTTGGCGAGAGAGCTAAATATGAGGGTTGGGGAAATATAAAAATGGATTTGAACTTGTAAGACCTAGGGCCAAGCCACTTAATAGCTGGGTGATTTTGGTCAAATCACTTAAACTGTGTCCTCAAGATTGGCAATATTAAAACCTACCTTAGTGGAGTGGCTTGTGAGGTGCAGATGAAGCCATGTATTTGAAATCATTTTGTAAACTTTAGTATAAAGATAAGAAATGCTCTAACAACTTTGATCCATGATCCTTATTTGCAGTGGCGCAGTCCTAGTTATCTTAATGTCTAAGTGATATTTTTCTCCCATAAGAAACTAAACTTCCTCTA